CCATTATCCTGTCTTTCCCTTCTTTTTGCAGTCTTACAAATGTAAGGAAAAACTACACTTGGGATTTTACATTCCCCTAACCAGCTGAAACGGGTGCAGATGGGGCCGTGTATTTCTGCAGGTGCTTTAGATCTTCATCTCTTCCATCTTTGCTGCTTTGTTTCCCAAAGCCTGATGACTTGTCTTGCATGCTCAGCTATGTGGTGCTCTTGACACAAGGTCAAAATGTGTGGCTCTTACTACTCAGATAAGAGAAGGCTGTTGTCCATTTTTTTATTGGCTAACCCTATTTAGCTCTTCTGTTAGTCCTTTTATCATCTATCTGCGTTTTCTCCTAGCTTTTTCCACGTTTCTCTTTCCACCTTTCTATTTTTAAACTTCATTTTCACAAGAAAATAGCCTATGCCTTAACAGTGCTTCACAATGCTTTCCTGAGAAGCCTTTGCTAGTGTACCTCAAGGACTTGGGTGCTCCCAGTCCTATTGCAGGGACTGGGATAAAAATGGGACTGGGATAAAAATGGGATATATAGTGTTGTCTGTTGTCACTCTGAAGGCTGACTTTTTGTCCCTTTGAATGAATGGTGCAACTGTCCCTGATAAAGTTATAGCACTAGGATAACTCATCTCAGTTTCGTGTTTTATACCTTTACAAGACAGATTATATTTAATGTATGTGGTACATTGAAAATGTAATTTTATCATTCCATCCAAGGTAACTAGGGAACATGTCTCTCTGTCTGTCTTTTCTTTGTAATTAATCCAAACAAAACCTGACTTGCTTTGGAAGAAGAAGGTGCATGGATTCTGATCTTAGTGTCTCGTTCTAGTCGCGCCTTTATTTTGGAGGCGACCACTGCGGTTGACACGAAGGAGTATTTGCAGTGCTCCCTGCTTGCGGACTGTGTTGGATAGCCAGGTTTTCTTTCACAGGAATGCTGGAATGAGGAAAGACAGTTCCAGCATTTATGGACTACTTTGTTGCTATAAGTTTTTTTCTTAATTATTGATTTCACAGTCTTCTTTTCATTTCTCTAGCTGACATGATGAATACCAATATCTACAGTTACATCTATCTAGTGTTGCACCTAAAGTATCTGGTTTCTACTGAAAATGACATTTTTAGCTGTGTTGTGCTTTTAAATGTGACTTGGTTCCACCCTTACACCAGAAATCAGCTGAAAAGCAGAGATGGACAACTTTGTAGTTATTTCAGTTACTGCATCCTCCACCTGGTTTGGTTGTTGGCTTGTGCTAAGTAATTTCACACACATGCTTGGTGTTCAACGTGTGTGTGGTAGCTTTTGCAGTGAGATTTATTAAGATATTAATGCTTTTTACAACAAGCTTCTGTGAAATACCTTCTTACAGTAGTAGTCTTGGAAAAGTACTTAGGTTTTGGGGGTTTTTTTTCTTGGTTTTTTTTTTTCTTTCTCCTTTAGAATACAGATGAGATTTTGCTTGTACGTTTTCTGTTGGGTTTTTTGGGGGAGCAAAGGCTGTTTGTGTTGGAGAGCAGCCTGCAATGCTCTGTGGTGCATTTGTGTTTCTAAATGCAGTTGGTGAACAGCTGCTGATGGAACTGTGTCTCTTTGTGTTTTATGGATCGAAACAAGTAAGCCTGGGGGCCCAATGGCTGATTTTTTTCTCCTAGATAAAGATTAGGGGTAGGGGA